TCTGTGCCTTTGAGGCACGAGAAGAACGTAAGCGCTGGCTGATAGCGCCTCGTCACTTCATATTTTCCGGCATACATCGAGTGCTGAGAACCGCAGCGACTTATCTTCAGCGGAAACTCGCGATCGTGTTTTCGTGTAGATTACGCAGCGCCTGCCCATCTCTACGCATCATCCATGTGCCGTGTACATCCTCAAACGCCCTGTTGTTTTTCTCGCTCGCGCTCCACCGGCCAACGATCGGCGGCGCCATCTGCCAGGTCTGCCACGGTCGTACGCCAGAAGCTTTGCTCTGTTATAAGCGGCGTCCGTCGCCGTATATGCGGTAATAAACCGAAATCTGAACAAGTGCCCGGTCATAGCGTGATGGTCGTTATAGCCGACTATCTTAGCACTGACCTGCGATGCGACGTAGCCTTCGATTGTTCCCGTGCGCTGGCCCAGGTACGGCTTTCAGAAAGCCGTTCGCGCGGATGACCGGCTATTTGCAGCGTTCGTAAGCTGCTTGCACGTCATCGTTACATGTTCGTCCGCGCTACGGTCTGGTATCGTCGCCGCAGCGGAGGGCCAGTCGGCGGTCTGGCGTCGCCATCTTGGCGTTGGTCGACATGATGCTCCATCGAGGTTGACGTGAACGACGACAGTAAAGCCGAGGGCGGCGGTTGGCGTTGGACGCCGCGGTTACATGACGGACGTTTTTTTGACGCCGAAAGTTGCGCGTCGCCGTTATGAACACTCGCCCCCGTCGGCGAACAGCTCGTCGCCGACGCCCGTGCCGCGGTAGTTCGCTCTGGACGATGAAGTGTTCCGCCCATTCTGCACTGCTGTGTCCGTCCGTGACGCCTGTTTATGAAGCCTTGAAGTATAACACCGATCCGTCTGCTATTACCGCAAGTCCCTGCTTTGGTGCTCACTACGCCAAACTACACTACGCTCGCGTCGCGTGCGTGTAGAACACGCGTTACGCGTAAAATGTACGTGCACGTGTATGAAAATGTTTGATGATGTACTTTTACGCCGTCCGTTCGTTTAGAGCAGTAGTACTGTACGTCTGTCTATTCTGATCATTATTGCCTAATTATCATGGCGGATTAGCTGTGATTAGACATGGAGTCACGCGTGCCAGCGGTCCTGCTAAAGTTGAACTCATTCGGTTTAAATGCCGTAAACGTGGCGCGCCACACGCGCACACTACACTGCACGCACGCACGCTACGCACGCCACCGCACGCCACGCACGCACTTACTGCCTACACACACACTCCACGGGCTGCGCAACGCACGCACACACTGCACACACATCGCAAGCACGGACGCAAGCCTACGGAACGCACACACCGCGCCACACACGCCACACGCGCGCGCCGAGCAACACACTCTGCACCGGGCCAAAGGACACGCTATCGCATGCACGCCACACACGCCACAAGCGTGCCAACTATAGCACGCACAATGCGTTGCACACACACATGCATACACACGCAAACGCATATGCGCACGCGACTTGTGTGTTGTACACACGCACAAACACACACACACACGGTACATTGCACAAGGCCGGTTTTGCGGCACACTACGCACGCCACGCACACCCGATACACGCATTACACGTCGCCTGCAGACAGCATACACAGATAACACACACACACACACACACGCGCGCGCGGCGCGCAGGCCACGCACGGCACACACACGCGCACACTCTGTTTACGAACGGACATGAGGCTTTCAAGTTCTATTGTAGTTGCTTATATTCAGTATATTTGATTCTTCCTTTGTCTACGAGTGCCTGTCCGCCACAAACCGTTATACGCTAGTAATTAATGGAGCTGGCCGTGTAGATCTTGTTCCTTAGCGTTATCTATAATATGTGAAAAACCTGCATTTAACTTCATTCTCGTTTATTGATGCGATCACGATGAGAGATTTACAGCGGACGTAACTTTAGTTGGCTTACGCACTATATGGTGGTCAAAATGGAATTGGTCTGGGCCACACGATTTTACCTTGGCGTTACAATCACCCGTAGGTCAATACACCGTAAAGGTAAAACACACTGTAGGTGGCCACTGCACAACTTCAGGTAACGCATACACGTCCGGCAAGTGCAAATACACTTCACACACCAACGCACGCACGCACGGTACGACGGAACGGTTACGACGGTACGGCGACGGGACGGTACGCGACGGACGGACGGACGGACGACGTTATCGGACGGACGGACTGGACGGACGGAACGCGTACGGACGGACGCGACGGACGGGACGGACAGACGGACAGTGCAGACAGAAAGTAGAGATAAACATCCACGCACAAACAGTCATTATCTACGCACGCAATCACACGTACGTACTAGACAGAGGGCACTTCAAATATGAGTGATACTCGCGCGAGCGTACATGTGTATAACAGCTGGCTCGCTGCCTGTGCTGCTGCTGACGACGCCTAAGGCGAGCTGCTGCTGTACTGGACGCCCTAAGGCGAGGCTGCTGCTGATCTGGACGCACCTAAGTGCGAAGCTGGCCTGCTAAATCTGCATCGCGCCAACGCTACACACACACACGGCGATACACACACCTACGAACCACACACGAGAGCGGCTTACATTTACCTCCCTGCAACTCCGTTGCGCGGAGGTAATAATTGTACTTAGCAGGAATCACGTGTAGCCGCTCTGACACAGAATTAGTTATTTTATTTACGATTTTTGTCATGCACTCTATATATATTTATTGTGTAACTTATCGAGAAACCCATTCTTCCGCTCTATTCCTCGCCTATCCCCTTTCCTCTCCCCCTCTCACTCTACACTCTACACTCTACACCCCGCTCGCTGGCTCTCTTGTACTGTCTCTCTCTCTCTCTCTCTCTCTCTCTCTCTCTCTCTCTCTCTCTCTCGCGCGCGCGCGCGTGCGCACGCGCATTCTCTCTCTCTCCCTACCTTCCTCCCCCTTCTCTCGCTCCCTCCATCCCGCTCTTCAACTCTTCCTCCCTCTCCACTCCCTGTCTTCCTCCGCTTGCTTGCTCGCTCGCTCTAAGCTCTCTCGCTTTCTGTCTCTGTAAGACAGATAGATAAATATAGATATCTTTGCATATAGCAGGGACGTAGCCATGCAGGGGTGATTCCAGGCATTCCGGAATCCCCCCTCGTTTGTATCAAAATAGCACATATCTGATAAAGTATGTATATAAAAGCATGAAACGAATATTTTAACGAAGTTTTATTAGTATAATATTATATAGTAGGTTTGGAATCCCCCTCTTGGAAGGAATCTTCCCTCTTGGAAAGGCTGGCTATATACGCCCCTGTATAGGGGCATTCTTCTTCTTGAGTCTCTTCGTAACTTCCAATAGAGCATCGACCTGACGGTTTCATACAGCCCGGAGCATTTTAACGATCTCTGCTAACCAACCGAAGAAACTTCATATTAGAAACGCTGGCATGCCCACACCCTAGCCATTGCCTGCATCGGGTACAGACATGGGCATACACTCATATACAACACCGATTTTATTTCTTCTCGGGCGTTTGTTATTATTTTGTATTATGAATCAGAGTAAGTTGGGCCGACCTACATTATATCAGGAGCTAATAATGACAAGTGGATAAGTGAGCTAATAATAACAAAAACATAATGACAGATTTGTCATTATTAGCTTCTGATAGGCTGATTATATGTTCGCAGATAGCGATGAACTGCGCACCTTGGACGCGGTTATGAACGTGTCGCAAGCTCGTGTGACCCAATTCATGCAGTGTTCTTTATATAAACTTTTTTAGTGCTGTTACAACGCGAAATGTAAACGATGCATGCGTGGATCGATATCAGCTATTCATTTATTTTAGTCCCTGTTTTTTACCTCCGCCAAGGGGTTGGCAGGAGGTTATGTTTTCACCGGCGTGTGTTTGACTGTTTGTTTGTGGGTTTGTGCATGGGTTTGTTTGTGTACAGCCTAACTGAAAAAGTTATGGACGGATTGTCATAAAATTTTCAGGATAGGTCAGAAATCGCCTAACTTAGAATTGATGAGATTTTGCTGTAGCTTCCTCTGCTGTAGCTTTAGCTTCCTCTGCTGTAG